CCCTCCCCGGCCCAGGGCGCCTCAGCGATCGCCTTCCCTCGGGCTCCGGCCTTCCCCGCACTCCACACCCAGACCTGCTGGTGACAGTGACAGTTGTCCTAGAGTGACCACACGATCCTTTCTGCCGCGGTGAACAGTGTGTGGCTGCCTCTGAGCCAGGTTTTCCGAAAGGTTTGACATCGAAGAAGCTGTGCCTTGTTACAGGCTTCTAATGAAAGCAGCGTACTGTGCTGTCAGGGAAAAAAAAGAGCGAAGGGGGACATAGTTTTGAGAAGAATAGCTGTGTGTGCTTACAGCTGAATTTGCACTATTTTGAAGTTTCATGCCAGTCATTTTACTAGTGTCGTTACTCTTAGATAGTGTCCTATAAAGTTGTGTTTTAGGATAAAACTTTTTGTCCCTGCATACTTTGATTTTACTTAAGCCAGTTTTCCCAGGTAGCCTTTAAGTTTCTAAGTTGAAGTGTTAAATGAATGAACCGGATAAATGTATACAGACCATTGTACAAAGGAAAGGACATTTAAGAAAATACTTTCAAACAAATGTAAGACAAAGATGTAAGATTTCTGAATGAAAGTAAGGACATTACATCTATTTAAAGTTAAATTTTACATTTATTTTGAGGTGGTTTTTTTTCTTCCCTTTGAGACAGGGTTTCACTATGTAGTTCAGACTGGTCTTGAACTCAATACATAGTTCACCTGGCCTCTAATTCGCAGAGATTCTCCTGTCTCAGCCTTTCAAATACTAGGGTATTCTGTTTTGTTTTGTTTTTGTCTTTTTGAGACAGGGTCTCGCAATGCAGTTCAGGCTGGCCCTGAGCTCACCTTGTAGCCCAGGCTGTTCTCGAACTCAGTGATCCTCCTGCCTCAGCCTCCCAGAGTGCCGGGGTTACAGGCGTGGGCTACCACGCCCAGCTACATTTTTTTAATCGATATACAAGGCATTGTGTGTTACCTTATTTTTGTTTGTTGTTTGGGTTTGTGTCTGTGTGTGTTACCTTATTCCATGCTCACAATAACCTTTTAAGGTGAAGGTGCTACTGATGTCGGTATTTAAAAATGAAACTGAGGCTCAAAAGATTAAAGCAGGTTATTCCAAACCTTTGCATATAGATAATGAAACACTTCTGTCTGAAATAACAAGCTAGGAAGTCTTTGGTTTTTGGAGACAGTCTCACTGTGTACCCCAGGCTGGCCTGAAATGTGCAGTGATCCTTCTGCCTCAGCCTCGTAAGTGCTGGGATTACAGGCGTCCGCCCCCACACCCGGCCCTACATTTTAAAAAATTCCTCTTATACCTCTAGTATGCAGACAGCTTCCTTTTTTCCTCCCCCCAAGAAACCCTGCCTTTCCACCAGGCCTCAGTTAGGTACTTGCTTGCATTGTCCATTAGTGAAAACAAGAGCAGCCTGCGTCCCTTGGTATTGTCTTTCACCAGTGTCAACTCTAGAAACTGTTCTAGAGTTTCAGTCTTGTGGAAATCTACTTCCTTTGCAGGGCTTAGGGGTGAAAAGGAGGATATGGAGGAAAAGGCAGGCATATTCATGGTTCTGAAGTAGAAAGACAGTGGAGGTTGAGTTTAAGACAGTGGAAACATTTAAGAAAATACTTTCAAACAATACTGGGTGGTTTCTTTTTCTTTTCTTTTTTTCTTGTTTTGTTTTTTTGGGTTTCTTTGTTTCGGTTTGGTTTTTAGGTCGTTTTTACTGTTCTTCACCACCGCTAAGGAACATCTAAAAATCTCTGGAGAGGATGAAGAAGGCACCAATACGCCCTCCTAGAAGAACACTTTTATTGCAGTATCTTGTTATAGTAGGGTCCTTTGATGTGTACTCATCTAGAGCAAGATATGTTGTAGGGTAGTGGGAATGTGCGTACAGGTAGATTATTTGGGGCTGGGAATGTAGCTCAGCAGTAGAGCTCTGGCACAGCTCTTGCTAAGGCCTTTAGTTTAATCACCAGCGCCAAAAAGTAACAACACCAAGGCAGGAAGATTGCAATGTTACATTCTGTTATCTTCAGCGAAGTTACTCTAGTAGTCCACTAGACATAAAAATGAAAGATTTTTCAAACAAAGACAGTAACAAATAAATAAATAAAATAAAACATTGGAAATGATGCAGAGCTTCAGTATGTAGTATAGCAGCCATTGTAAATATCTATCACTTTGTTTTGAGGTCATGTATCATTTTTGTTGTTTTTGTGTTGTTTTGATTTTGTCTTCATTGTTGTTTTGTCAGTTTTTTAATTAAAAAAAAAAAAAAAACAGGAAAAAAAAGATTGCAAGTTCAAGCCCAACCTGGGTAACTTAGTGAGAGCCTGTCTAAAAAGAAAAAAGCTCTGGAGTATAATCCTAAATGCTGAAAAAACAAAAATTGAAACAAATTATATATTTATTTTCCTTTAGAAATAAAATAAAATTTAGTCTATATTGTCAGTGTTTTCTCTATCTTATTTCTTAAGCATATTGGATTTTTTTTTTT